TTGATTACGACGAGGATGCGAAGCAGCATGGATCAGATTCACTGGGCTATCCGAGTTCCGGATTGGCTTTAGGCCCAGCACAACGCGGTGACTGGATGTCAGGCTTCCTTCAGCAACAGACGAACGAAGTCGAATCCGAAAGACGAGCGTTACGTAATAAACGCTGCGTGGACGAAGCGTTCATTACGTAACGCTCGTCTTTCGATGTCGCCGATGTCCGTTGCTGTTGACGTTCGTTGATGTTGTTCAAGTCGTTGATGTCGCTGCTCCGTCGAAGTTAGAACAACACTAAACATGACATCTAAATGCGACCTATATACAGGCTGAGGAGGGGAGGGGAGGGAGGAGGAAGGGGGCACAATCTACAGGCGGGAGATCACATGCAATACATACAAAAGGAAGGGGCTGCGGGCTACACAGCAAAGAGATCATTCTTCTCGGAGTTTCTTCTACCGCCGTCGCGCGCGACAAGAACGATCTCTCTGCTATGTAGAAGGATGATCTCTCTAACTGAGCTGCTGGTGGGACTGAGAAGTTAGCCGGAGACGTGCAGAAAATAGGCAGCGTATAATAATGAAGTAAAAAGAGTTCGCTGGACATTTATTGGAACTCTAAAATCCAAAAAAAAAAACATTAAAATTGGAATCAAAAAACCAAAAACATTTGAGTTAAGAAAAACTAAAAAGGCTAAGATCACGTTATGATTTTGTAATAATTTTGACATAAAATGAACGTCTTATCTTGCTCTCACCTCCCTCAATCTATACTACTAGAAAAAAAATTCCTCTTACTCCACACTCTGCCATCTGCACTTCCATGGTTAACCTGGAGGCTGCCATCTGCTTAAGCGGAGGAACGTGATAATGAGAAGCGGGGAGGAGCAGGAAAGGTAATCAGACTCTAGCTGATACGCTCCCATTTTCAAGAATTTTGGCATGTTACTGGTACGAATAGATGTTATCTTACAGTGAAGAATCGATTATACTGAAGCAAAAAGGTTAAATAAAAGGTAGTACTGAGGAAAAAAGAAGAATTGATTATACTGAAGCAAAAGGGTTAAATAAAAGGTAGTACTGAGGAAAAAAGAACCAAAAAGCGGTAACTGAGGAAAATTGATAAAAATTTCAATCCTTAGCCTCCTGTAAAAATAGATAGCGGCTTGCATAAGCGTAGCTGCTGTGATCATGCGTTTTGTGCAGTTCTGTCCAGCGAATGTGTACTGCTTTACCTACATCATATGCGCTGTAGAAATTTAGCGTGCATTTATACGTTTCTGTCTGCATAGCTGCGTTTTGTGTGTTGGAGCATCTTAGTAACATCACGAGCAGGGATTTTAAGTTTGTGCTTGTGCCTTGAAAATCGCATCAGAAGAAAAAATCCTGCAAATTTTTGCGATTATGCCTTTCGCAATTCGCTTGTCTGGGTCTGCGTGTGTGTCTGGGTTTGCGTGCGTGTGTGTGTGTGTGTCTGTGTGTGCCTGTATGTGTTTGTGCGTGCGTGTACGTGTGTGTGTGCCTGTGCGTGTGTGTGGTTTTCACGTGTGGGTACGTGAAAAGAACTTTACACAATTTCATGGCATCGCCAATAATCTGCGAACTGGATCGCTGGATGTTTGTATACATCTCTCCATGCAACATTTTTAATCCCCCATTTTGCAACATGCTTTCAAAATAACACAAAATGTACATTCGGCAGAGCAGGATATAACGGGCTGTCGACGGCCCGTTAAATTCTGACGGTGGCCGCGTATGTGTGAATTTTTAGTTTTTTTGCGATTTCACACGGATGGGAGGGTTATTTCGCGATTTTGCACAGGTAGATGGGTCAGTTTGCGATTTCCACAAAGCACACGCTGGACATGAGCGATTACTTTGCGACTGTAGGGCTTCTATTACAGACAAATGATATTTTGGGCTGTACTAACGTTAACGCTTTCATGCTTCCTTCCACTTGCATGGCTAGACGAAGGCGCTCAGGGAGAATTTTTTATGTGGAATAAGCATAGAGTCAAATGTAAAGCAACAACCATTCATGCAGTTATCGACCTGATTGCTTCAAATTTAGCGCAAAAATGCATGATTGCACCAACAAGCCTGGTGGTGCGCTGCAGTTTGAGTTAAGTGTTTTAGAAATTTTTAAGATGCAAACTATGAATATCACTGGCTTGAAGGTTGGAAGAAGTGGGGGCCTGGAGTCTTCAGTTTGTTTACATTCATAGCCTGTTTGGCACTACAGGCCCGCCGATGAAAGGGACACAGTCGAATATTGTCAGTTGTGGGAAAGCAGGAAGTACCAATTTAGATACCCTGATAAGCGAGCCTGTATGTGCATTAGCTGTTGTCCTCTCTGTCTTTCATTCCTAAACTGTAAACACAGACGGCAGAGCCAGTGCGGAATGGGATGGGAATCATCTGGGTACGGGGTTTGGGGATGGTACCTGTGAGTTTCCTTGTCTAGTTGTTTTTCTAAGTTGGTGCTTACAAATTTCCTCTGAGCATCGGAGTTCTTGTCCCTTCCTCCTTCCTCCGCACCCCGATAATTCTCGTCTTTGGTTCCAGTTCCTATCTTCAAGCAAGATCTCAGCTTCTTTCCGATTACTGTCTCCGTCCCCTCCCCTCCGTTACGATCCCTTGAAACCTCTACCACCACCACTCCGGCCGCCCCAACCCCTCACACTTACCTTTTTCCCCGTACCCCCTCTCTTAGTCACCGCAACTCGCTTTCCCCGGGCCGAACTAGGCCGAGCGGAGTTTTAATAATTGTGACTCATTACACACAAATCCAGGAGAGAGGGGAGGGGGAGGGGGGGGAGAGGGTGAGGGGGGAAGGGGCGAAGGACGAGATACCATCCGATTCAGCGTGCATTTCTGTCAGAAATTATGGATTGTTGCTGTTGCAGATCCTGGAAATTAGCGACGAACAAGGAGGGAGAAGTTGTTGACGTGCCGAACTGGCTTCCTGCTTCAGCAAAGGTTTGTGTTGTTTCAATTTTTAATGCTACCATTTCTGACAACTTCATTATCGCGGGGCCGGGGGGAGGGGGGATTCCTAATCAATAAATTGATAAGAAATTGCTAATCTCTCACTGGATTTTTGAGGATTTCTCCGGAAATTTTTGGCCTAGCTTTTGCTCATCGATGCATATAATAGTGCCTTGCTAGGTCACCTCGGCCTTTTTCATCCTCCAGTTCTATTTTATCCCTTTATCGGCGGAGGAGGGAGGGAGGCGTAAGGTATCCAGAAATAGCTCATTATCGAAGGGGGTTTTCTAATCAGTGAATTGATAAGACATGAATTGATAAAACACTGTTCGATCTGTGTATACAGCTAAGGGATGAAACACTGACTGCGTCATAAAATCTCTTCATACACATGGCATTCACGTGAAATCCTTCTGTTTTTCTATCACCAATGTATTACTGGACTTTTTGAGGATTTCTCTGGAAATTTTTGAGGATTTACTCATCGATGCATGTAGTAGTGTCTTGCTCTACCAGCTTAACCTTCTTGTTCATTCTTCTATCTTGACCTTTACGGAGGGCAGTGAAGTATCCAGAAATAATTACATTATTGCGGGAATAAAGAGGAGGGGCGGGGGGGG